TATGGCTTGTTTTATGAATATTGAAATGCAACTGAATGAATTGTTTGACATGAAATACGGTGAATTGCATGATACATAACCCCGCTAGGAATATGTATGATATGTAACGAGATGAGAATGAGAATAACATGTAAGCATGAAATCGGGACACGGGGTTATGTTCATTAAATGGTGACTGTAGGACGAGTGGGACCTCATGCATATTGTGTGATCATGCATTTGGGGGGATACCCCTATCCCATCACGAGGGTACGGACGCGTACATCCAAATGGCAGGACCACGATCGTTATGCCTGCATAACGCTGCCGTGACGGTTTTAGTTTTAACGGGTCCCGGTGGGCCCCCAGAGCATGCCCACCGGCTAGGGACAGTGGCCCAGCGGTGTGCGAACTAGCTGGTGAGCCCATACTCGCACGTATGGGCTGCGTGTAGAGTATATGGTACATGTCCACGGTTACCTGTTAGGATTACACCGTAGGGAAAACGAAACGAAACGAAACGAAACGATAGGTCCCATCATTTCATTGCATGTGTATGTCGCATAACCCCGATAGGGGGTCACTTACTGAGTATTCTAGAAATACTCAAGCCTCGTGCTACTTTACTTTTGCAGATAAGGGCAAGGCACCCATGTGACGACGACGACGGCATCGTACCCCCAGGATCGTGGCACATGCATAGGGTAGTGGGTTGTTCTTTTTCCATTTCGTAGTCTAGGCCGAATTTGGCTGCATCATTAATCTAGGTTAGTATAGGAGGAGAGGTGTTTGCATAATAAACCTTAGGGTAGAATAAAATATGCATTTTTGGTTTCTGTTCCTTTTCCTTTCCTTCAATTTCTCTTTTTCCCTTGTAACCAATTTTCCTCTGAGGTAATGAAAGGCGAGTGCGTGTCGCAATAACGAACAGGGCCCATTAAATGTATATTCCAAATTTCAAAGTATAGTAATGACCTTAGATTAGACAAGTAAAATATTAGGGTCGTTACATGAACGAACGTGAAGCTTGGATCTAAAAAATTCAAAGAGAGGTCGAGAAATACTCTTTGTGAAGATGTCAGCAATTTGGAGATGAGAGAGTACATATTGTGTGCGAAGTTTGCTAGCGATAACAAGTTCTCGAAGGAAATGATAATCTAGTTCAACATGTTTGGCCCGCTTGTGAGAAACGGGATTAGAGCACAAAAAAATAGCACTTTTGTTGTCACATAAGAGTAAGGGCTGCTGTGAAATAGGGACCTTGAGGTCATGCAAAAGATGCGTAACCCAAAGAAGTTCAGCAGCAGTTGTGGCAAGAGCACGATACTCAGATTCACAGCTGAAGCGTGAGACAGTAGGTTGCTTTTTGGCACTCCAAGAAACGAGATTGTTACCAAGATAAATAGAATAGCCGGATATAGAATGACGAGTATCGGGACAACCAGCCCAGTCAGCATCCGAATAAGCGACTAGCGTACAAGGAACAGTGGATGGACGAAAGGTAAGACCAAAGTGAAGTGTTCCTTTGACATAGCGAAGAATATGTTTGACAGCAAGAAAGTGATTTGCAGTAGGGGCATGCAAGAATTGACTGACAGAATTGACAGCATAGGAAATATCTGGATGCGTAATAGTCAAGTACTGAAGGGCGCCAACAAGAGATCTGTAGAGAGTAGGATCAGAGAAAGGAGGACCATCAGCAGTCAGGTGTTGAGAAACAACCATGGGAGTGTGAACTGGTTTGCTATCGAGCAATTGAGTACGAGTAAGAATATCTCGAGCATATTTTAACTGACTAATAAAGAGACCATCAGAAGTGGGTGAATCTTCAAGACCAAGAAAGTAACTGAGAGAACCCAAATCTTTGGTAGCAAACTCAGAATGAAGCTTGCGAGTAAAGCTGTCAATAAGAGATGAGTTGTTGCCGGTAACAATAATGTCATCAACATAAAGAAGCAAATAGATAAGGTTAGATTGCTGATGAAAAATAAAAAGGGACGTGTCAGCGCGACTGCAAGAAAACCCAAGTGTGAGAAGAAATGAGCTAAAACGCTGAAATCAAGCACGAGGAGCTTGCTTTAAGCCATAGAGGGTTTTCTTTAATAGACAAACATGAGTGAGAAATTGAGGATCAATATACCCAGGAGGTTGTTCCATATGAACACGTTCAATAAGAGTTCCATTGAGAAAAGCATTCTTGACATCAAGTTGTTGAAGAGGCCATTTATTTGTGACTGCAATAGAAAGCACAACATGGACAGTGGTAGCTTTGACAACCGGACTGAAAGTGTCAGTGTAGTCAAGACCAGGAACCTGAGTATAATCTTTGGCAACAAGTCGAGCCTTGAAAATGCTCGACGGATCCATCAGGCAAATATTTAATACGAAACACCCATTTAGAGCCCACGATGTTGGTGTTGGCAGGGCGAGGAACCAAAGTTCAAGTATCATTTTGTTGTAACACTCGAATTTCTTCATCCATGGCAGCCACCCAAGCAGAATTCTTAGCCGCAGATTTAAATCCTTTTGGCTCAGTGGATGCAAGAAGAGCAGAAAGAAGTCCAGATGAGCCCAAAATACCAAGATTTGCTGGATGACGAGTCTTGAATATACCTGCTTTGGCTCGTGTGATCATAGGATGAGTGCCCAAAGAAGAGAAACCAACAGGAGGTTCAATAGAGGTCGAATTAGAAGTCGAGGGTGACAAAGTGGAACCTGCAAGAGAAGTATCAACCTGCACAGACTCATTTACAAGGTCAGAACAAATATCACACGGGGATGAACTAGATCGAGGAATGTGCGGTGATGAAGTGGTAGGGGGGATGAATCAATATGATGAAGATGTGGTTCCAAGAAATTTGAAATAGGAATAGAGGAAAGAGGTTGGGCCTAGGAGCTAGGGATAGTAGGAAAGTGAGTTTCATCAAATTGAGCATGGTAGGTGATATATAGCTTAGTGGTGGCGGGATCAAGACAACGGAACCCTTTATGAGCAGGACTATAACCCAAAAAAATACAAGGAATGCTGCGGGGAGAAAGCTTGTTAGGCATATAATCACGCAAATAAGGATAAACACGACAACCAAAGGGATGAAAATTATCATAATGTGGAGTGTAGCCATAATGGAGTTCAAAGGGTGACTTACCTCCAAGAAGTGGAGTAGGCAACCGGTTGATAATATAAGCTGCAGTGCTGAAGGCGTCAACCAAAAAACGAGGAGAAAGATGAGTGT